CGAATGGCATACTGTAAGGCCAGTAGAGGGAGCCACATGAACGAAATCGTTTTTCATTCTTGACGCGGATACTTTTAGCTTCACAACAAAAAAAAAATTAATAAAAAATATCAATGTATGCTCATTTGATCGCATTTTTAAAAACGTACCAATAGATGGCCCACCCTGTATATATATGCACACGCAAAAAAGTGGATCACTAAATTTTAGTAAATATTTTTAATATCTTTAAACAGCGATAAAATCATCGTATCAAAATGAATTATATCTCAAATTAAAGCTTGAATATTCCCTTTGATAAGTGTGTAAATTAAATTTGAATTACACAAAATGTACTACAAAACAGCAGCGTTAAAGATGGACATAAAAAGATAGGAAAAAAATATCTTATTCAAACTATTGCGTGGCTCAGGAGAATTGCCTGCCAGGCACAAAAGTGTATGAGTCTTTCATTTTCTTTCTCAAGGGGATGCTGGAGTTACCGACGAAACATCATTTTGTATTTCTCAAATCATTTCATTTTCCGCAATATACAGAATAAAAAATCCTTCTCAAAATAAAAACTGCAAATATCTTTGGAAAAGTACAAATCTGTATGAAAATTCCTCCAAAAATTGTAAATTACAGTTTTCGCTTACCATGTAGATTCTTCCTTTACATATAAATAAATGCAAGGATGTATCTAAACAAAAAGTACTTCCCTATTTGAATAATTTATAAAAATATCATGAGATTTTAATAGGGCCGTGTCTAGCGAGCATGTGATGCGTGCATAGCACGCAGATGGCCAAAGTCAAAGATATGTAGCCAAAATTCAATATAGCATTAGTCTGTACCAACCATAGACATAGTGTCACTAGACTGCGCATTGTCAGAAATTTGAGGAGTGGGAGAAAAAAATGAACTCAATCGAACCATTAACGTTCTCTTAACATATTGTAAAAATTTAGAATGAAAACTTTTGGATGAAAAACGAAATGAATTAGATATTGATGGGATTGACTTATATTATCTTTTTTATGAAAAATCTTTAAAATTATATTTGAAATCACATAGAAAAATAATGGAGCCTCAATATTTTACAATATATTATACTTGAAAATAATCTGCAAGCAACATTTCCAAATATTGGTTTGGAGAAAAAGTTCTGCTGTATTTTGTTAGCTTAAAATTATATACAAAATATATTTGTTGCGAAATTTTCGACTATCTGAAAACTTTAAGTTTTTTCAATATTAATATACGTGTTTTATGCCCTTACAATCTCCCTAACTCGCGAATAACTCAAAAACGAAAAATCGTAAAATTAAAAAAAAAAAAACGATTTTGTAAGAAAAACTCCAAATTTTCATGATATAGATAGTTGAAAATTTTCGCAAATTTGTTTTGACATATGACAGACCCACAAAGTGAGAAGAAAAATTTTCCTTTTTTTCAACTCGTAGTTTTCTATATATAAAAATTGCAAAACTATAAATTTAAAAAATATAATAATCATTCGAAAGTAGATTTCAAGCTTTAAAACTCTTCTTTTTTAAATTTAAATTTTGATCATTTTTAACGAAAATATTGTATACATAATTTGGAGCTCTAACAAGGTGTCATAGAATTCTTTGCACTAAAAATTCATTTCTATGTAAAAATGAAAATAAGAGGTACAATCTCCAATAACCTTGATCTTGATAAATGTTAACCAGGTCATGATCCTGAATAACATTAAAGAGGTTTTAACTGTCGGTTGAATACCTTGGGTAATGCTAATGCCGGTGGTGCTGTAACTTGCAAGCTTTATAAAATATTTTCTAAAAATAAACTTAATTATAGTGTTTTGGAAAGCTCTTGAGATAAGCTATAAGAATATCTAATGAAAGATGGCGAGTTCCATTAAAAAAATGTATGTTGACCTTAATCTGACTTGGTAGTGCCCTCTATCCAAAATCCGTTATTTTCACCTTCTTTTCCCCTTTAAGAAAACTTACAACTTTCATATAAAACTTTTTATTATATCTCTTTTAGTTTCTGAGATATTCACCTGTGGCGATTAAAATGCCCCACCCTGTATATCGATTATTTAAAAGATCAAGTTTTAAAAATCCAATTAAAAAGTTTATTATAAATTTATTTATTGATAATATTTAGAATACAAAAATCATTATTCTTTGCATATTATGGTAAAAATTAAATAATTTCATTTCGATTTTTCAGGTTTATCAGTTCAATTCATAATGGGATTTTTAATTATTATAAATATATTATAGCGAATTCGATCGGACGTGCGCCTTGGTATATATTAAATCCATTGTACTCTGATTATCAGTGAGTAAAAATAAAATGAAAATATTTCGAATTATAAAATACACGTTTCATCTAATATCATAATAAAGCGTATTATTTTATAGTTTTTTGAAATTAATTTCCACATTTATAATAAACACATTTGTATATCAATTTATGTACGACGGCTTTAACGTGCAGTGAGTCTGCTAATCGATTTCGCTATTAAATACAATAATCCTTTATTTGTTAATTGATATATAAAAATATTCAGTCTTTTTTTAAATATTGTATGTACAAATTGCCAGAAAGAAAACGAAAGAAAAACTCTGATAAATGCGATACCTGTATGTTATATCTTACAAACATAAGAATTGTAACTGCACACTGAATAATTGTCCTCCGGTATTGACTCGCAGTCCTCGTGGCCATTGGAGATTGCATTTTCATTAGGTTTAGTTCCTTTAACACACTTGTTTCTAGGCATACCAGAAGTAATGCACAATTCTAGTAGGGCCCATTCTTCCGTAGAAATCAATGAACCTTCTTCACTGAGAGAACTCACTGAGCTGTGCCGCGAAGGCATCGTGTTAGATTTCACTGTGTTGTTTTTATACGTATAATCGTCGTTGTTTTGAATCCTATTATAAATCGGCATGCATTTTACGTCGCGAGATTGCAAGGGCATACACAAATTACCGAAATTACCGTTTTGATTCTCTGTATGACGAAGCGGCGATCTTCGAGCACAATGCGGCGAATTGTTTATCCTTTCGCGCGTACCGTTATCACAATTTTTTAATGTCTGACCGGAGGTTTGTGCTATATTACTGCTTGTTACTTTCCCGGGGAAGTAGTTAAAATTGCCGGATACGTTTCTCGTGAAACGCATATCCGTTGTGTTGATGTTCGCAGATTTGTACGACGGTGAACACAGCGCGGCATTCCTGGGAGAATGAGATTTATTCGCAAAATATGAAACTGAAGGGATGGAAAAATTGTCTGCGCCTTTCAAAGATGATCCAGATGTTTTGGTTGTCATTACTGTAGATGGCATAGAATTTAATGCCTGAAAATTAATTATATCATATGTATCAAATATTAGAATATTTATCGAAATATTATATAAAATATTTCAAGTATAAAGCAGAAATATATCTTATTGGTGTAGTTTTTAATGTGTTCATTCTTTAGTATCCGTCAAGGAGTGCCTGTGCATATTTTATTTATACATAAATACAACTTACTTTTGGCATACCAGATCTAATACATTGTGCTAACATATCTTCTTCTTCTTCTTCTTCAGAAAGTCCATTATCTTCGAAGGATAAAAACTTTTTCACTATACTTTTTTTTTGTTCCATACATCTTGGCTGAAAAAATGTTGATGAAGTGGGAGACGACTGCATATTCGTTGTAAGATTTTCCGTAGTTTGTGCTAACGGCGATCTAATTGACGGTGATAAATTGAATCTTGCCTAAAATGTGAATCGTCCAATGAATAATATAAACAACAACTTATTGCTGTACATAGAACATTTGGCTTAAATGGATATAAAGTTTTCAGTTTTAAAGTAACAACCTTTGGCATTGCAGATTGTATACATTCCGTCAAAATTGCATCGTCATCTGAATGATTCACACTATCATCTGAAAATTCATCTGGATGTCTCAATGATGCGCTATCCGATGATTTAGGACTCAACATGGAATTTTTATTTCCATGATTTGTCTCAACGGGTGAAGACGACGGTGTGCCACATATGTTAAACTTGTGCGAAAGTGTTTCAGATTTTTTAACAAACAGAATGCCATTTGGAAGAGGAATTATTTGTCTCGCCTATAAATAAAAACAACAATAGGATAATTATATGTATAGAGTAGGAAATCAAGATTCGATGGCTTCATTAAATATTAAAAAAAAAAAAAAGAAAAAATATAATTTATAATAAAAAGGATTCTTCATCCCATATACATTTCAAAAGACTGATTAAACAATTAAAAGTTTATTAAGTGAAAAGGCATGAGGTTATATAATGAAGATTGTAAAAACAATAAATAAATACACAAGATTGAAGAAGTTAATACCTTAGGTATGCCTGATTGAATGCATTCATCTAATATTTTCTCATCTTCGCCTGAAAGATTGGAATTTTCGTCGGACAAGTCATTTCTGTGACAATCAATCTCGACTGATTTGTTTTGTTCACACACATTCTTTTCTATGTCCTCCTGTACACTTGGTATTGAGAGCGCAGACAGATTGGATTGAGATCCTACTGGAGAGATATCTGCAGGTGTATCCTCGGTGCAATATACATGTACGGTGTCTGAAGTAACAATCTCCATCACAGTTCTATTTTTTGAAGTACCAACAGACGTTTTAATAGGAGTCACATGTGATTCCAATCTTGGAATAGAATTTCTCTGATATGGCATTAAGATGTTTGGAGATTCTGGTTGAACAGATTTCTGAACGTTCAGAGACTGTCTATATCTGTATAAATATATTTATTTATTTATAAACTATTGCATAAATTCTTTTTCTATAATATATTACCTATTAGTTTGCATTCCCATATTAATACAGGCAGCCAACATATCCTCATCATCTTCATCACCATCACTTACTTGTTCCTCTTTCACATCACTTTCTGAGCTATTTATTTTCATATTAAACATATCTTTTTCAAGTATATGAACTGTATCTTTTTCATTTGTATCAAGTATTCCTTCTACTTTACAATATATTTTATTAGTATCATTAGGTATTTTAATTTCATCATCTATTGTAAGAGAGCTCAGACTGGTCGCACTAGAAAATTCAATTGGTGTTGATTCTTCCTTAAAAGTAGCAATGTCATCTTCAAAAACACTGTTCCTTGTGACATGCGGTTTAGAAAATACTGCAACAGATAAAATTTAGACAATCTTTAGATAAACAAACAGTTATATTATTGTCATTATTATTATCATTAGTGATGAATAATATTGCCTACATAAGTATTGGACTGATGGTCTTACTGCTTCTTCTTGTATTTTTGATACAAATTCTGTATTGTGGGTTTTGTGATTTCGTGGACTTGGTAAAACTGTTTGTGTGGGAGAGTCAGGCAACTCACTGGGTGAGACTACGCCACTGGTCCTACGGCTGAAATGAAAAATAGTATATTTTTTGCAAAATTAAAGCATTCAAATTAAATTTTTTAAAGTTTAAGATATTTACTTAGAAGTAATAATCTTGGAAATAAAATATAATCACATAGTACAATATTACAATATTAATGCTTAATGTAAATATAATTTTTGTACTTTAAATACTATAATAAATTATACATTTTCAATTTACCTAAAATCACTGATCACAGAACTACGATCATCATGGATGGAATATTGCTCAAAACCACTCAATGAACCAAGTGAACTACAGCGCGAAAACATTAGAGGGGTTTCTTCTGCATAGTAATCTTGGCCACCAAATGTTACCATTTTCCCTAAAATATAATGTAATATCTTTTTGTATTAACTTCATGTATATTTGTTAAAATTGTATATAAAAAAATATTTGCATATTTTATCAATTTATTGTTTAATATAAATGTAATAAAACCTTCTTTATCTAGTACACGTGGATTATTCTTGTTCTCAAAAGAATTGTTGCTCACTGATGACAATTCGATTTGATTGCTATTCAATCCCACAACATTGTGAACATCATTTTCCAATTCTTCCTTATTTACAGAAGAATTATTTAAATCTTCTTTTGATATAACTCGCGTAATGTTATTCTGAGGAGTCATTGCACTACTTAAAGAACTAAGCGAATTAGCACGTGAAAAGCTATGGGACGTTTCCACCTCCTCCTCCTCATAATAACTTACTATCTTCTCTGGAGTTACTTGTCCAGGATTGAGACCTGCAGTATCCTTTGAGTTCTCTTCTTCAAGTTCTTTTGTTATTAGACCATCTTGCTCATTGCAACTAAGTGTTTCAGTCTGTTTGATAAAAGACACAGGTATTTTGCTGGTTTCTTGAATCGTCTTTTTTGATATCTTCTTCACAAGTACATGCTCCTTTATATCTTCAACTCGGAGATCTGACATGGAGGTAGCTGTGGAGAAGTTAAAAGGAGTTTCATAGGGCGTTCCCTCTGTACAATAAGTCTTGATGGTATCCTCTTGTTCACTGCCAGGAAAGTATTCGGCGTTCTGTTTCTCCTCCTCATCAGTGTCATCCTCGGCGTATCGCAAGCTATAATCTGTAGGCTGATCAAGATCGGTTTCGGCATAATCACCAAATAAGTCCACCTTGTTGTTACGCTTGTTGAATTCCTTTTTCGAAGCGTGGCTTGCTTGTGATTCGTCAGCCAAGTGTTCATTTTGTGTCGGAGCATTTCTCTCAATATATTTCTTACTGTAATCAACTGGTTGATCGTTTACGTCCTCGTCATATGTTTCTACATTGTTTATGTCCATATTGATGACAGCAAGGTTCTAATCGAGATGCATTGTGAAAAATTTTGATTTGAACTTTCTAAAAGAAAGCAATTGTCAAAAGTAATTTGCACATTACAGTAACTTGCATACTACTAATGTTGTGATCAGTAAAAAAAAATCGAATAATCAAGAATCGATTCTCCATCAATATTTTTCATTCCTAAAGTCTTCCAACATTTTCGCGTTTTTCTGTAAAAAAAAGGGGAGAAATTATTATAAATATTTATAAACATAACTGTATAAAACATTACAAAAATAATCTGAGCGTCTCTTACCATACCTTATGTCAAATTTTGGTGCGTTCGGAGAGACGCTATTACCGCTACTTTTGTCGTTTATTTTCGTTGTTTATTAGATGTAAAACAAGGATAGAATAACACAAATAACGCACTTTTTAATTTGCTTGATAAAGCCAAAATAAATAAAGGAAACGATCTTTTACTTTTTCACACTTGACAATAACGTTAAGTCCGGATCTACAATTGTCTAATTTACATCGTGCACTTGATACATGTACTAACTAGTAACTTTCTATTAAATTATTTCAATTTCAGCGATGTATTCAAAGAATGATGTACTAAATTGGTACAATATGCATTAAAATGATTAATTAAATACACATATCGTATATATGTTTACGCGTATCGCCGAAATTAAGATTATTCAACAGAAAGTTACTAATTAGTCCCCATACGGCCATATCAACTGCATGATATAAAGTAGGCCATTGGCTTATGATGTGTTCGACTTACACTTTTTTTATACTACTTACTAGTTAGTCTCCGTATGGCCATATCAAGTGCATGATGTAAACTAGGCCATTGGCTTATGATATGTTCGACTTTTTTAATACTTTTTTATACTTAAAATGAAATAGATATATATTTGGCGTTAAAAAGAAAGAAAGCGAAAAGTGCTAGTGTAACATCTTAGGCTGGGTTTTCACTTGACGCTACGACGTTCATCTTCAGCGTCAAAACAGATCACGCGATCAAAATTGACACTTAATATTCGTTCATTTTAATCAAGTGAAAACTCAGCCTTATGCAAAAGTTTGTAGGTGCCTTCCCCAATAAACGACTCAGGCTGCTTTTACATATAGCGTAATTTGCGTAAGCATAACTTGTATCAATCAATCAAATTGTATCAGCGACTACGCTTTATTCTAGATGAGACGATTTTACGCTAGGTTTTACGCTAGTTACATGTAAAGTAGTAGTTGCATGTAAAAGCCTGATCAGTACAATGGTTGCGTTCAGCGAACTCAACAGTTGGGTGAGCACTCACTGTTATTGATATATTCTTTTAGATCATCCAATCAGCATTTTGGATCTGAAAGAATACATCAATAGCAGCATGCGTTCATTCTACTGTTGATCCGCAGCCAATGATCATGATGTAAGAAAACTAGATGTATCATTCCCGGATGTGCAGTAGAAGAGTGAATTGTGGCCTAAATTTGATTGGTTATTCCAATATGCCAGCGCATATCAACGCATATTTCATCTTAGGAAAAAAATGTCCTGATTGATACTAAGAACATAGAATTATTGATAAAAAGTAATTTAATGCTCGATTAAATAAATTAAAATAATCAGATAAAGGGCTCAGAGCACAAGCAAGATATTCTTCGCTATTGTTATTAAATACTAAAAATTATATTTAACTAAAAATACAAATACAGTTTTGATCTTCTATCTTCGGTCATTTTCAATGTTACATCTACATTAAAACAATTACAATGACATACTAAAAATTCTAGAAAAGTCTAGCGTTTATAATATTAAAAATCTTAATCCTGAAGCTACAAGCACAACGTGTGCAATTCCCATGATGCAAAAACCTTGATAATTTTTAATATTTAATAACGAAGAATATCTTGCTTGTGTTCTCCCAGCAAACGAGAATGGATTGAAATGAATTGAAATGGATTTAGATTTTCAGAAATATTGATTCACAAATGTTAAAATGAATGCTTTTTAATTCTGAATGCATTTTTATTTATTTATAAGAATTGGAGCATATATCTCTATGTCTTTCAATCTAAAAATAATATTAGCTTTATCTGTGCATTGTGAATACTGTTTAATTTAAAATTTTGAATAGGAAATACAGTTTTTCAATCCAATTGCATCTAATTGAATCCAACTAAATCCAATTAAATAAAAAAAAAGTATTCGCTATTTAAAATACGCATTCGGATAGAAAAAAATGTCAATCCATTTTAATCCATTCTCGTTTGCTGGGCTGAGCCACCGACGAGATACTATTAAAGATCGACATCCTTACGGAAGTTCGCGTCCTTGTGAATATTGAAGTAATTAAGAGTTAAAAACTAATAATATCGTACTAATTTTATGATTTATTAGTTTAGTAGACATATTTATGCATTTAGCACTCAATAATACTCGATTTTTCTTTAAAATTGTAATTTTAGTGTTATCGTCGAAGACGTGTACTTACTTATAATAATGTTAAAATTGTTATTATAAGTGTTAGTTTTAAGTTTTTAGGATAATTTTTTAATTAAAGTAATTCTTTAAAATGAATTTAATTTAATGTATTTTAAATTGTTATTTTATTTTTAAAATTTAAGTTAAATAAAAGAATTTGATTATCAATAGAGATGATAACTGCAGAGAAAAAATTGTAATTTTTCTGCAATATACAGGATATATAGCTTTAGTATGCATATTTATTTATGGAATATTTATGTAATAAAAAATCATGAATTTAATAATGTATGAGCCAAATACATATTTATGTTAATAGCAAATTTATATCAATTGTTGATAATGTCAGCATTCTTCAATTACCTCCGGGCCCTTGGGGCCCTTTTCATACCACCGAAAATTTGCCCAGGGTTGACGGTCTTTAATAGTACCTCGTCGGTGGCTGAGCCTTTTAACTAATTATTTCAATAGAATTATTGGTCAGTGCGATAACTTCCGTTGCGCGGGAAGTGTGCAGGAGCTATTACCCCGAATCTACAATAGATTTTTAAACTTTAAGCCATAAAGAATGGACGAATCACAATTAATTATTCTTTTAGCATTCAACTGTAGTTGATTAATTTCTTATGACTTAAGGCTTAAAATACCTATTGTAGATTCAGACTTAGAGATACAAAATTACTATCTTGGAGCTGTTTCTTTCAAAAAACTCCAGAGTTATTTTTGATATTAAAAAATGCAACTACAACTGGCCTAGTTTTCATCGAGGGTTTAAACTGTATTCCCCTGTTATACTTGAACGACGGGGGAATACTCGATTGTAGTTGGTTGGTTCTTTCATTCTGATCCAGTTTAGACCCTCGATGAAAACTAAGCCACTGATACGAAAAGGTCTCTTGTGTATTACGAATAATGTGTTGATCGACGCGGCGGGACGCATTGGATTGGTTGGCTTACTCTTAGAAGCTAAACACGATAGGCCGTTTATACCATATGCGTGATTGGCGCGTTGATGGGTGGTTAGGCGGAGGCGGAGGCTCTATCGATTTAAATTTGGTTTGCCGGTGCGCGTGTCAATAGTGGACGCGGAGCCGTCGCCGCGTGTTTTAGGGTTATTTCTTAGTTATCTCTAAGTTTATTTCCCTCACGATACTTCTCAAGCGAGTTTAAGCACTTTACATGGTGAATATGTCTGAGGAGCAAGGGAAGCATAGGACGACTGCGGAAACGGCGGGCGCGAACGAACCGATCGAGTTTGAGAGCGCCGTACCGAAAATCAGGTCTGTTTCACGTACTGTTCGGCCGGTGCTCGCTCTT